TTGGATTCTAAAGTCGGTCGGGTCCTGCAACCGGGGCAATGCCAAAAGGCAGCCCCGGTTCTGGTGCTGAGACAATGTAAAGTCAATGTGGAATCTAGCCAACTGGTCCAGCCACTACTGAATGATCATTTAAGGTAAAGATGTGTTATACAAAATAATTCTGAACTATGTGACCGGGATTATTTCATACGGCTACTAATTTTCCCTGATTAATGAATTGTAGCTTGCGTGTATGCTCAAAATATATTGTTTTATGGAAAGCATTCTAAGAAATCTAAAAGTATCTAACAATGTATATGAAAATTAAGCATGATCTTATGAAGTCAGAAAAACCCAGTAAATGACCATCAGTGATTAGTCAGATAATCAACTGCTGATTGGAAGCCATATGCAGTCATTTATTGGTGCAAAATATCTAAAAGTTTCTCATGCTCATTCCTTGTTGATTGTAATTTGATGCATTAACTTATAATTCCCATGAATGACCATGGTAGTCATTTTCTGGTAGCTGGTCATTTACAGGTCAAATCATTCTTTGCCTTATTGATATGTTACTTGTAGGCAATTTATATACAGTACATTTATCTGTAGAAAGTATTTAAAAGTAAATTCCATCACTTTATTTACTTTCATGACAATATATAAATCTGTGTAAATATTTGCACAAACCATTATGATACACAAAATCTATATATATAAAATTGCTTGTCCTGACTGACTGATTCATTCACTCACTCACTCACTGATTCATCATCGCCCAGAACAAACCGCTGAACCTAAAGAGGTGAAATTTGGTACACAGTTAGGGTACATCATGAAAACGCTCAGTAAGAAGGGATTTTTCAAAATTCCCCCCCTCCCGTGGGGGGAGAGGGAGAGGATTAAGGCTTAACCGGAAGAACCGCTTCTACTGCACTATTTTAGATGCAATTTTTTGTTTTTATTGGCGTTTTAGTAGGGTATGCCATGGGAATGCACAATAAGACGGGATTTTTCAAAATTCCCCCGTGGGGGGAGAGGGAGAGGATTTAGTCTTCATCGAGTACTTAGGTGTATTAAATTAATAACATTTCAGACATTGTTATAAATATTTTTATCCATTTCGATTTTAAAAATGTTCGAACCGTTTTAAAACTATTTTAGATGCAATTTTTCGTTTTTATCTGCATTTTAGTAGGGTATGCCATGGCAATGCACACTAAGAAGGGATTTTTCGAAATTCACCCGCGGGGGGAGAGGGAGAGGATTAAGTCTTCATCGAGTACTTAGGTGTATTAAATTAATAACATTTCAGACATTGTTATAAATATTTTTATCTATTTCGATTTTAAAAATGTTTGAACCGTTTTAAATTTGAATTTGTTATTGCATATTGGTTTGATTATAGAACGATTGTAAATGTTCCAGAAAATTGATCAAATTGAAAATAGTTCGTTTGATTCTCAGCAATTCTCATCATTCTCAGCAGTAGGTGTTATATAACAATTACTATGGTTGTTGAAATACTGAATATAAATGGGGTTTGCTTGCAAAATTTTCGCGGGCGAAGTTGCGGGTAACAGCTAGTTTTACATACATTAAATGTATTTATGAATTTCATAATTGAATCAACATATGGATATTATCTGGTCATTATAAGAAAATGTATGAAAAAGCTTTTTGTTTAAAAATTTGTATAAAGCAATACAAAACTTTTCTGTAAATAACTCTAATCGGAGCTGTCGTATAACAAAATTTCTAGTACATGCCAAAAAGAGCACAAGATTCTGAAAAGAGTACGAGAAAATAACAGAAATTAGTGGATTTTATTAAATAAGTTAGATCTTTCTTTAGCCTTCTGATTGATTAAAAAAAATCATATCATTGGAATAAATTGTCATCAGACGTACATGTCCTAAAAGTTTCAGCCTTCTATCTTAATTAGATGTGAATGAAATTTGAGTTGCAATATTTGTGGATATGATACAAAGCAAATTAAATAAAAGCATTTAATAATAATAATAATAATAATAATGATGATAAACATGAAAATTTTTCTGTTACTTGTAATCCTGCAATATTATATTTTTATGAAATAGGCTTTTTAGCTGAAGTTGTTACAAAGATAAAATATTGTTTGATAGTTGAAAATGAAGTATGGTATGCATTTAAACATTATTAATGGCTTCATTCTGTGACAATTTTATGCAAAAAAAAAAAAAAAACTTCTATTTAAGCTGAAACTAATTTAGCTTGAACAACAACCTTAAATACTCAAATTTTATGCCTTTGTGTCCTTAACTTATGTATTTATGCTTAAATTGTCAACTAGGACTTAATTTATTACTAGGAATATCTAGTATAGTAAGTCCTAGTAATAAATTAAGTCCTAGTTGACAATTTAAGCATAAAAACATTAAATACTTTTTTCAGTAATACTATAATTTATTTAAACAAATGTTTTCCACCCTTTTCAAGGTCTATATCAAGTTTAACCTATAAACTAGAAGAGTTGAAATCTTCTAGTTTATTGTTTGGTAATTTTTGATATCAAAATTGATTTATAAAATGTTTTATAGAATATTAGAAACACATGAATAATATAACAGAAATTATTTTGGTTTTATATGAGGCTTTGTTAATGAGATAAATGGTTTTGAAAGTTTATCAAGTACATGTGCACTTGATCAAGATCAACTCAATGGATATCATGTACTGTACCCCTGTTAACATTTGTAAATATTCCAATGTTTATATGCATCAAATGGATTGAATAGTGAAAGCACATAATAAGACTAAATGTTTACTTTTCAGGAATATTTTTTCATTTAGAAATTGTTGGAAATGATGTCATAGTTATTGCATGCAGTTGTGCTCCTCTTGTTAAATTTCTACAAATGTTTTCCAACATATAATTTTGCAGTTTCAATTTTTCAAGTGCTAAAATAATTTTTTCTTTTAACTGCTCAATATTCAGTATGTCACTGCTATACATGATAAGAATAAGAGAAGAGTAAGAATGATACAGAAAAAATATTAACAATGGTGTTTACAAACACAAGAAGTAACACAGCAATGTTTTCAAAACACTCAACAGTAACAATAGCATACAGCAACATCTGTTGAGTTGATCATGTGCACTTGTGCACGATAAACTTTTAAGGCCATTTTTCTCAAACAAAGTCTCATATGAAGATATTTCATTCTATATTTTTGATTTGGTATTTCACATAGAATTACCACTTTCCTGCTTGTAACACTCAGTGGCATGCACAGGATTTAATCTTGGGGAGCAGAGTTGAACAGAAAAAACATTTTTAATGCAGAATTCAATAAAATTCCCACCTTATGTGGCCTTTAATTCATAAATAGTATAGAAATAGAAGACATGACAAATTTTCTAGTATTTAAACATTCCAAAATTGGATGTATTAATACTAAACCAAACAATTACAGTAATTAATCGGGATATTTTTGCTACAATTAATAATTAGTAGTTTATGCATTGTTTGTTTGTTTATTAAGTTATGGCAATGCAACACTTGGGCAATCTGCCTAGGGGGGATGCCTTCCGGGAGGTCTTTTTAAGGGAAACTAGCCCTTTTAGGTGTTACAGACGTGGAGAAAATCCATAAAATTCCAAGCGAGGTGCGAACCCACAACTGAACTTCCAGTGTTCAGGGTACAAAGACTGCTTGGCCACTGGTGGACACAGTTTATATATTAATTAATTATGTTAATTGTAGCAAAAAATAGTCCAATTAATTACATTTGGTTTAGTATTTCTAGTGTTCTTTTTCCTTTGGAGGGTGCTAGGACAAACTTGGGCCCCCTCTGAGTGCACTATTGGTACCACCAGTTACATGACACCATATATATGACATCAAAATTTCATATGCAAAAATAATCAAGCAATTACTAATAGATTCAGATACTAGATTTTTCTATTTAAAATAATCAAATATTTAATAGATTTTTATTAATAAGAGAGTTGATTCATATTGTTCCAAGGAATCGACTAGAGCAGCGCTGTCCAACTTATCATAGCCAGCGGGCCATATTTTCTTCACCAAACATTTCGGGGGCCAAGAAGGTTGATAAACCACATGACATTTGCATAGTGCTACGGTTCAGTAAGCACTAATTGATCAGCGAGTCCGATGTTGACGCTATAAAAAGGCGACAGTTCGANAGAATTTTTTCCTTTGCGTCCTCTCTATCTGCCCACCCGCTTAGTGCGCGCATATCCATATTGGCCAGACGGACGAATTTTTTTTCCGTCCTTCTGGCCAAGTGGCCAATTATTTTTAAGATAAATGCACACATGGCATTGCTGTTTCGTTGATAGAAGAGTTTAACAGTAACGAGCAATCTCGTAGTGAGCATCAAGACTTCATCTGTCGAAGAATTGTGAAGAAGTTTTATACCCGAAATTTGTTTAAAACGTTCGTAATGTGCACGTTTTAAGGAAATAGCAACGGTAATTTTCGTCCTAGCAGCTGAATTTTGAAGTCAAAATTTTCTCGAAAATCGAACCACGTACTCAGGACAGTATTACCAAAATTGACTGAGATTTGCGTAATAGTTATTTTTACAGCGAACTCTGAACACGTACCCTTTAATTATGATCACCTTATATATTATCTCCCTAATAAAAAAACATCATCTAAATTTTCGACGCAAAATTTTGAATACATGTTAAAAAATTAACATAAATATCAGAAAATGATTATTTGTAACAGAACGGTTTGATAAGTTTTTAACATCACAGTTCTTTCTTGTAAACATTTTAATTGAAAATAAATGGCAACACTAAAACCTATTCCTTCAACAGCGTCATCTGCATTCAAATGAAAAAACTATTTTTGTAAATATTTCACACGATGGAGAGGAGGGATTCGCATGATTTGTTAGAACAAATTAATAAGGAAGAAAAGAAAAAGAAATCAGAAAAAATATTAAGTAGAGAATGCTATAGAATGTTTAAAATTTTAATAAAAATAAATTTACATGTATATTCCACTGCGATACCAGATATTAATAAGGAGGAACAGAAAAATTTACCTGAAAAAAGTGAAAATAAAGTCAGTGTACCAGATTTTAAAACATTGGCAGAGTATAGGTAAATATTTACTAATAATAATTATCAATATGATTTATAGTGTAATTATATTTAACAAGATACTTATTGAGTTCACAATTTCATAATTATTTCATTTTATTTTTATGAAATTAACAGTGTATCTTAACAACATTTAGTAAAACTTTAAACTAATATGTTGAGTTATCTTCACGTGACTAGAACATGTTTATAAACAACAACGTGACAAACCTGATTTTTGATTAAAGTCGGACAATCTGCCAAATTATTGTCTGGCTTTAATAAAAATTAACCTAATCATAGCCTGATAATTTGGCAGATTGTATGAATATGTTCATATTAAAATGATATAAAAAACAACTATCTATTATATGTAATTAATAATAAATCTCACATTCCCGAAGCCTGGCTGTAAGGTCACAGACACAAATGTAAATAGTTCTTAAAGGAAAATGCTCAGGAGTGTGAGATTTGTTAGCAATTATTCCAATAAAATAACTTTTTATGATGTTTATAAGAGTTTATCGATTTTATTATCTATTTATATTATTTTAAGATGAATTTAGTCAATTCTTCTTAGAATTAGAAATTATACTTTTGTACTGTTGAAAGATATTTAAATTTTTAAATATTTTTATGATTGAAACAAAGAAGAATAAAATTACAGTATGACTGAAAGCATTATTCAATTATTTATATGAGTATAGACAAAGGAAACATAATTAAATATATAGGGCAGGGATGGGCAACAGTTTTTGCCCAGGGACCAAATTGGAAAGAGAACTTTTTTCACGGGCTGAACCAGAGGCTGCCCTAGGAAGATTTTGAGGTGGTGTGAGATCTCGTGGTGTCACCCTGTAGAGACTAAATTGCACATAGAGATTACAGATACATTTTTCAGATTATCATGCTTTATCAACATTCTATGCTGTACTTAAGAGATTTGTAATGGCAGGTTAACTCTAAATGCACACAGTGAGTTGTTGACTTTTTTTTTTTAGGCGTCAGAATTTTTCATCGAGCTATTCGGATTTCAATACCTAATGTTGAAAGATTGATCGCGGGCCATGCCTGATATAGGGTGTCTCCTAAATTTAAATCCAGACTAATAACTCAGAAAGGACTGTCAAATTCAAGTGAACAACATTGTTTTATACATTGTTGGGTGTGGACTATTCATTGGTGCATCAGTTAATTTCTTCCTCCTCCCAGAAAAGAGGATTATCTCAGCTCCTATTGTATACAGAACTACAGTTCCAACTGTAAAGTTGTAGAGCAGGTTGAAATTAGTACATACCACATTTTATTCAATTAAAAAAGGATAGAGGTTTTGTCGTGCACTCTGAAAATTTGAAGAGTTGTATGAGTTTGGTTTCTCCATAGTACTAAGCTTCTTTGTAAGTGTTTGCTTTTCAAGCTTTATATAGTTTGTGATAAAACTGTCAGTGAAAAATATATTTTGGTTTCATTAATTCAGGATCTTATAGGACAGGAAGAAGGCTAGAACTTGAAACTTAGAGTTTATTGCACCTGGAGGAAGTAAAACAAATGAAAAAGAATAAAACAATATTTCCACATCATAAACATACATCTAAGCAGAAAATTGCTTTATCATGTTATACATCAAAAAACAAATACTTCCATTTAGCAGTGTATTAAATTGCTCAATTGTCTCCATTAACAGCAACATGTGTTAGTACTTGTTCAATTGATTGGCGAACATGTTTACTATATCAAATTATTATGCTATAGGACTGTTTTTGAATGATAAAAACATTTGGACTGTGGAGGGATCTGAAGACTGTCTTTAAAAATGCCAATAGTATTTAAATTCGTGCTGGATTTAGTAAGGTTTATAATATTGATACCAATGACCAATTAGTGACCTGTTTAAATGTTATTTTTAAATTCAGTTTTGAATTTTTGTTAATATTCTAGTTTAATAATGATCAATTTACATGGCATGCTCCTCCTTCCAAATAATAATCTTAATTAAAACATTCTCTTAGTTTATTAAACTGTGTATTTGAATACTGCTTCAGTCGTAAATATTTATTGTGTTATTCAAATAGCCTTTTGTCCATTGTCTTATTTTGTGTATTTTGTGCTAGCACGTTTTTTCCAAAGACAGACGTATCATGCTGGATTAAATAAAGAACAGAATGACCTTGAGACCCACAATTTGCAGAGTAATACTATATATTAATTTTATGATAAGTTTAATATATGAAATGTTCTTATTTTTTGGAGTTTTGTTGCATATGTATATATGTTGTGAAGTATTTATTATAAAATTAATAATGTTCATGCATATCTGTAAATCCTAAAAAAAAAATCTATGTATTAAGACTAAAGAGAAACCTGTTATGTTTGAAATGCATATTGTAAAATAAATACAGAATTATTCTGCAAATTACGTTTCAAAGTAATTCCATTGTGTTTAATGCATAGTTTGTGTGCTTGCACAAAACATGCAAAATAAATATTTATTCTTATTGAATTTTAATGTTTTGTTTTACCATCAATACAAGATATTTTATGATAGTCGTAAATTACTAGGTATTTTCTAGGAAAACAACTGAGCTCTGTGGCATAGAAAACTAAAACTGTTAAAAAAAAGGGTTTAAAATTGATCTAAGTCTAAAATGTCATAGAGATCAATTTAAACTGATAACAGTTGGAAACTTGATTGACATGTAGCACACAACCAGTTTACAATTGGCATACATAGACATTACATAATGAGCTTTGATCTTGAATATCTCAGTCCACTGTCAAAATTCCTGCTTCATCATGAAATTGACCTTGCTGAATTGTATGTATTTGCAAGAAAATCATGTTTAGTGATCGTCCAGTTGCTTTAAAATTTTATCACAGGCAAAAACACTTTCTGATTTACACAGAGCTCCACTCAACAAAACAGTCTATTTTATTATGATTTAGAATACAGTGTTAACAATAATCTTTAGTCCTATTGATTATTCACAAAATATAATTAAAAAATATGCACAAAAACAGAGTTATAATTTCATACATAGTAAATGAATACTTTGACCTGATTTGGAATGAAACAAAAAAAAAAAAACACCTTGTTCTCTGCAGTTAATACTAAGATGCTATTTTTAGTGGTATGAATATTGATCCATCTATATAATCTGATTTAATACACCTTTGCCACTTTCAAAAATGTGGAAACTGGAAATGCAGGTTAATTTCTTACTTTGCATATATTTTAATGGAATGTAATATAAAAAAGAAAACTATAAGTTAATAAAATAAATTTAATACAATTTCAAATGTAATCAAATATGATGGATGGAGAATTTTTTTGTGCGCCATGTAGTAAGCATAATTATCTTTAAAAATGTTTTTATGTTATATTCAAGAATATTTGTTTTATAAATATTCTTTAATTAGAATAAATGTAAAGAAGCTGGTTGAAAAGAATGATCAGATGATAAACTGAATATAAGGATAAGGAAGAAAATGTACTGTTTGTCAGCAATAAAATTATTTACTTGAACTAAATACATGCAAGTACTTTCAACATTTCAAAATGTCATCGTAAAGTGAAGAAAGAATATATAAAATTTACATAATGACTTTTTATAAACTTACATATCAAGAACATACACTGTATTTGTTTTAATATAGGTCTATTAATTCCATTAATATATATTTAGCATAATTTAACTCTCCAACTTTTGGCTTTGTACAACTCTCATCATTCTGTTCATAGAATAATGATTCTTTACTAATTATCTAAAATCATTTTTTTTAATTTTAATTTCTCGTTATAAATGCTTTAATGGAACAAAATAATGTACAAAAAGAGTTCAAGTACTTTTGAGTACTAAATACTTATTGTCACGAATAGAGATTTGACAATAAAATACAATAAAATTAAGAAACAGAACGTTAAGTGTGTTCATTCTTTCCATGTGCAAATCATTATTTCTAGTAGCTCAAAGTCTTTGCTCTTTAAGTGTGCTATCTTTTTTCATTAAAGCATTTCTCTTTTATTATTATAATAACTTTATCATTTTTGGATATTAATCTTACACTTTAATTATATTATATTATAATTAAAATGTTTCAAATGCTTATGTGAAGGAACAGAACTTTTTAAGTTTTTAAGTTTAACAATATTACAGCAATTGGTAATGGAAAAGAAATACATAAAATGTACTTTCTTTCATATTATATTTGAAGAATACTTTTTTTAATATTTGCTTACTGTGGAATTATATCCTGTTAAATAAGTCAAATTTTAGAATTCTGTTTTTGTTTATCATTTTTTATTTTTGTTTTGTGTTTATTTAACAGAATTACAGGTATATTTAGTTATTTTGGGATGCTGTTGACAGTGCTGGTTGTTGGCTTGTTTTTTTATGACTTACTGCTACGATCCACAATTCAACCATTTACCATTAATTGACTTTATTGAGGATGTCTTTTTCTACCGTAATACTTTCTTTTTTAATTTTGTTTTTTTTATTTATTATTGAAGGAGTTGAACTTAATCCAGGTCCAATGTCTCGTACACCACCTTCTCCTTGCAATAAAGCTTCAACTTCTGTTGGTAAACGTTGTCGATCTCCAAGCAAACCAACATTGAAATCATCTCGATTGGATGATTATTTTGCATGGCAGGCTATTTCTTCTCAAATTCCTCAGAAGATTCTGTATTCTTAAGGAACGTTTTGATACCATTCTATTGAAATTGGAAGAATTGTCATCGAAATTTGACTGGTTGTCTAATTTATATAAGGAGTATGATGAACGTCTAACCTGCCTGGAAGAAGTTACTGAACTTTTGACTTTTAGAACTGTTTGTATGGATAATTTTTCTCTTCAGAATTATTATATAAACTCTGTATACAACGATTTGAAAAAAAATAACATTATCATTTCCAGTTTCAGTGGTAACAATGAAGAATTAGTTAATAATGCTAATTGCTTTGTTGAGTTGTTTAAAAGACAGAACAGAAGTCTATTCCTTTTATTAACAGTTATCAAATATTGGGAACTCTGCTTGTATTGTTCAAGGTCTATACTCAAGCTGACAACAGATTTATTTTTTAAAAATTTAAAGAAAATTCAGGAGTTGCTGTCCTCGTGCATTAAAGTTTTTGATGATTTGTCATTTAGATCAAGACTTAGATGTAAAAAATTGTTTCCTTTTTTGCAGAGCTAAATTTTTGAATAAAAAAGCATTTCTGAAAGCTGATTGCTTGATGGTGACAAATTCACTTACAATTTACAAACAAATGAACTGCAGAAGATTCATAGTTTTTTACACAAATCCAGTCAAAAGGATTAATTAGAACAATTGCTAAAGAGAGGGATAAAACTTTAGTAATGGGAATACTGTCTTGGAATTGTCAAGGAACATTGGACTTGACAATGAATGACCAAGAGTTTATATATTTTTTGCAAAATTATGATTTAGTTGCTTTCACTGAGACTTGGTTAACTAATTCCTATAAACAAGTCCTATCTTTCTTGAATCGAGATTTATTTTTATACGAACAATTTGCTAAAAAACCAATTAGTTCTGACCATCTGTACGGCAGTCTCATTCTTGCAGTTTCCCATAAATTAGGTTCTTTAGAATTGTTGTTTAACTCTGACGATCTGATAGTAATTAGATTTAATTGTAGGAAAAACTTTTGTTCACTTAGTTATAGTTTGATAATTGCTCTTGTTTATTTGAGAATAGATCTTTATATATTATTAGCTAAAATGGAAGATTTGTTAAGAAATTTTTCTCAGGATGATATAATTATTTTAGGAGACATGAATGCTAGAATAGGCGAGATATTGGATAATTTTTACACCTGGTTTAATACTAATGTTTTAAATTCCTGAAGATCTAATGATTTAATATTAAATCAAAGAGGAAAAGGTTTTTTATAATTAATTAAGTTGTACGGATTATATATATTAAATGGTTGATGTATCTCAGACCAACTGTCAAAAGAAAAGTAAATTTAGCCAGATAGTCAATCTGTTATAGATTTAATAACAGTAAATGTGAATTTATTAGACAGATTATTACATTTTAGAGTTATTGATATTTTTAATTCTCATCATTTTCTGATTTCAATATCGTTTGGATTTATGATGGATGTTGTATTGACTCGGAAACTTCCAAAAATTTGTTATGTATGGAAACAAGAAAGATTGAATAATTATTTATCTCTTATCAATTTGTTATATATTTTGGTTAAAAGGACCTTTCTGTAGGATGCGCAGAGTATCTATGATGAACTATTGACAACCTTGTTAACTTCATCTTTACAATGTGAAATGATTAAGAAAAATATTTCTTTATTATCTAATATGACGATTTTAGTCTCTGTAATCCAAAATTATTCTTGGTAGACCAATCTCACAGCAATCGTATTGGCAAATTAAGTTCATTTTGTAATATAAACTTAATTTGCCAATACGATTGCTGTGAGATTGGTCTACCAAGAATAATTTTGGATTACAGAGACTAAAATCGTCATATTAACTAATATACAGCAAACCATATATATATATTCTTTATTATCATTTGAGAGACAATGGTTTGATCCTCAGTGTCTACATTTAAAGAAAACAAAGAACTGAGTATTACGAATGTTTTGTAGAAATAAAACTAGAAATCTATTGGACAAATACTTCAAATTAAATAAAAGCTATAAGTTGCTGTGTAAGGCAAAGAAACAGATATTCTTGGCCAAATTAAACTCACAACTATTGAGGACTAAAAATACTAGAGATTTTTGGTCATTAGTTAATAAATTTCAAATTAAGAAACCATGTGAAAATGCTATATTCCCCTCAGATTGGTTGAATTATTTCAGAGAATATTTTGCTGGGCTTAATACAGTAATTTATATTGATTTAAGCTTTGGTAATAATTTTCGTCTTTTGGATGATTCTATCACTTTGAGTGAATCAGAAAATTAAAATCATCTAAGACTCCCAGTCTTGATAATATAAGGAATGAAATGATAAAATACCTTTCTACAGAAATATTACTAGATATATTGCATATGTTTAATCCCTTTTGTCTAGTTGCTCTTTTCCTTTATCTTGGAAATAAATCACTTTAAGGATGATTTACAAGAGGGGAAGTAGGCAGACTCCAACTAATTATAGACCAATTGCTTTAATTAGCATATTTAGAAAGGTTTTTTCAACTGTAATGGCAAACCATCTCTGGAATTGGATGAATGAATTTAATACTGTTACATCTCTCCAAGGAGCACTTATTAAAAATAGAGGTGTTGAATACAATTTGTTTATTTTGGTTGGTCTTATTCAAATGTCACCTTCAAGGAAATGAAGGAAATTATGTACTGCTTTTATTGATCTCAAGAAAGCTTACAATACAGTCTTATCATGATTTGTTATGATATAAGCTTAGGAGTATTGGTCTTTCTGCATTTTTCATTAATTTATTTAAAAGTCTCTTCTCTAATACAAGATATTTTATAGAGGCTTTTTCATTTTGTACTGATTATGTTGAGTCTAATAGTAGAGGGTTACCTCGCGGAGAACCATCGAGTCCTATCCTTTTAATTTTGTTTTTGAATGATCTTCCTGACCTTCTGAGAGGTCAAAGCTCTACGATAGCATTGGCTTCTCATATTGAAATTAACTGTCTTCTTTATGCCGACGATGTCCTTCTCTTGGCTAATTCAGCTTCTGTGCTTAGGGAAAGACCCAATCTTACTTGGAGAAAATTGATTGGCAGTTAATTCAGAAAAGGCAAGGCTTATGATTTTTTGTAGAGGTAGTAAACTTAAGAAACAGACAATTTTAGTTTAGAAACCCATAAACTAGAAATTGTGTCAAATTTTAAATATCTATGTATTTATTTAAATGCTAGAAAAAAGTGCCATGTGAAGAAGAAATAAAGGTTTACTTGACGCCAGAGCTAAAATCTCCAATCTCATCAAGTTATTTATTAAAATTAAAGCATCTTCATTAAATAATTATTTTAGATTATTTGATTCCTTGATTGGACCAAGTATTTTTTATGCTTTTCCGGCTTTGGGTGGTTTCTTAGTAGACAGATTTGAGACAATACAGTTGTTCTACTTTATGCAGGTGTTCCATATTAATAGATCTGTCTGTGGACTTCACTATTAATTTATCAATAAAATATTTGTTTCGGTTTTGGAGGAAACTTATTGACCTATCGGAAGATGATTATCGAAAATTGATATATACAAGATTTTCACGGATAAATAGTAATTCTTTTTTGAAGTCGTGGTTTGTTATAATTAAAGAATTATTAAATACTAATGGATTGTCCTCTAGTTATATGAATTTTTTAAGTGAAAGTTTCGTTCCTTCTGAATTATGATCGACGACTAAGAGATTTATGTTGGTCAAAAGGTGTTCATTATTTGAGTGAAAGGGATGGGACTGGAATTTTTCTTAATAGAATGTGGACTCCAGCACTATATTTATTATCTAATTTGAGTTACAAAATAAAGTCCTTTGCTGCACAATTCACATTAATTATTTTACCGTTTATGTTTATCAAAAACTTATTTAATGTCTTGTGTGATGCTGAGTGTTCTTTTTATGGAATGACAGTGATGAATATGAGAAAACACCTTGATTCTTGTAATATTCTTTTGGATATCCGAGCTGCTACACTGACATCTGATTTTTGTTATCAAATTTTATTCTGTGACAGTTTTGCCATGTTAACATTACATAAATTATATAAATGTTTTGTTCATATATCAAATTTAAAGTAACAATGATATTTAACCCCCTTTGTAATAACACCCGTTATATCAAATAATGAAGATTGATTGAAATTTGGTTATTTTCAGATTTATTTATCCGGAATTTTTGCCCAACCCGCAAAGAAATCGTAGACACAAAATTCGTGAGTCTCTAGAGAGGATGGATATGTTAAAGCGGAGATCTGTTCTTGAAATTCCAGAGTTTTACGTTGGTATGCTAGCAAAATTTTTTCATATAATTATATCTTTTTTAATAAAATTTGTTTTGTAAATTGTAATAGCATGAATAAAATATAAATATAAAATTCAAATAATACATATGTTTTCATTCTTGTAGGTAGTATTCTTGCAGTAACTGTATCTGAACCTTGGTCACCTGGAAAAACTAACAGATTTGTTGGAATTTGTATATTGAGAGAAGGGCATGGATTAAGAGCCAGCTTCATACTTAGAAATGTAGTCGATCATTTAGGTTTGTATTCAAAATGATAATATACATTTTTTACACTCTTTTCAAACTGCAGTTAAATAGTAGTCAAACATTGACAAAAAAAACCTTTAAAATGCAGCTTTTTATTAACTAATTGAACATTTTTGGCCATTTGAATGACCTTCCTCAGGAATAAAAATTGAATGATTTTGATTTTTATAAAACGAAGTTTGTTACGGAATGATTTTGAACGTTTGAATTTTCGTAGCTGTCTAGTGCGCAAGCCCATAAAAATACAATATGTATGGGTTATTTGTACAAATATATATATAAGCGACATATAACTATAAAATAAGAATAAATACCTAAATAAAATATAAATAACTGAAATATTAACACAACTGTGCCTAATTCCTTGACCGTTTGTTCCTTTTTATACTAAAGTATTCAGATTATGCCTGCTCTCAATTCCGCTGAGACTTTACTCGATTCTCTAAAGTTTATTGCTTGTCCTTCCTGTTTAGTCTTGTATATTTGCCATGCTTCTGCGTATTTAACGTGTCTCTTGTCCTGAATCTTTTGTATTATTTTAGCTCTTTCCCAATTCACTACTACCTTTTTTGGGTCTGCTATAACGTACATCGCTAGTGCAGTGACTGGCTGTTCTTTCTGTACATTCCTTTTATGTTCTTTTAACCTTTCTTTTAATGACCTTCCTGTGACAGTAAAACTTTTTTTGTCGCCTTTCGTCTTGTATGGGTATTCTATAAATTCCTGCAATAAGGCTCTGGTCTATATCTTTTGTCTGTACATAGCATTTAGTATATTGTTGGATTTCTTTTAAAAGTTATCTTTTTGTTTGTTGCAGCTCCTGTTGCTTTGTAAATATTGCTTAGGGTGTTGTGTATTCCATCACAGTGTATTCTTGTATTCTTTCCCATTCATTAATTTCATTAACTTCTATTTTATTAATGATGGCATTTACCACCTTCTGGTTGACTCAGAATTGCCTAGCTAGCTCTTTAATGTGCTCTAATTCTTTGATTCGGTCTTGTACTTTGCTGCAGTATGTTTATGCTCTCTTTATAAGTGCCTGGAATGCTGCTAATTTATAACTTGTTGGATCGTGGGAGGTCCATGGTATTAACAACGGGTTATAGGTCTGCTTTCTGTACACTTTTGTAGTAATTTCCCCTCCTTTCTCTACTTCTATTATTATGTCTAGGAAATGTATAGTTTTATCATTTTCTTGATGTAGCTCAAGTTCTAGGCCAAACTTGTTGGAATTGACGTCTCTGATAAATTGTTGTATGTCTGGTTTTTCTTTCCAGAAAATGAAGACGTCGTCAACATAGCATGCAAATATTAAGACATATACTGAATATTTTGGTATGATGGCCTTCTCTAAAGTCCTTAGGACCATCTTGTACAAAGCACTGGATACAGGACTTCCCATTGCCACTCCTCTATGTTGAGTGTATGTTATTACTTTAAAATTAAAAATCGATGAATATTTAGCAAGATGTGTCAGTTCTAGTAATTGTTTTTCCGTATTTTCTGCATTTCCGATCTTGCTTATTAGGAAGTCTCTCGGATGACAAAAACATGGCTATAGTTTTATTGAAGGGTATAAAGCTTTAAAGTCTAAACCCGTCATGTAACTTCCTTTTTTTAACTTCATATTTTTCAATTTCTGGAGCAATTCTAGTGGATGTTTTATGCTGTACTTGTGTGGAGGCATGTGCGTGTTAATAAAGTTTTTGAGTAACTGTTAGTAGGGGAGCATCATTTTTATTTAAGTATTTATTATTATTGTACAAATATATATATATATAAATGATATATAAATATAAAAGTAACTCGTATATATTTTTACGGGCTTGCGCACTAGACAGCTATGAAAATTCATATGTTCAAAATTGTTCCATAACAAACTTTGTTTTATAAAAATCATTGACTTTTATTTTTTATTCCTGAGGAAGGTCATTCAAATAGCCAAAAACGTTCAATTAGTTAATAAAAAGCTGCATTTTAATGGTTTTTTTGGTCAATGTTTGATACATTTTTTAGATATGTAAAAGTTATATTTCATTTTACAATAATAGAACTAGTTTCTATTAATGTAAAATGAGGAGGAGGAGGAAAGAATTAAATCTACTTATCAGGGATGTGTACAATTATCCATTTGGAAAGAACACCATATGACTCTACATTTTGTTAAGTTCAGTCCTTTATTTACACACATTTCTGGATACAATTTATATATATAATATACTACTCATCTACCAACTTTAGTCACTCTTATTATATCTCACTCCAGAAGGGGAGAGTAAGACTTCTCTCTTCCTTTTAAGGGGATAGTCTGACCCTGCTCCCTTCTGTCATGTTATTTCAGGTCCACCTTCACTAGGGCACATGACTAATTACATTACTTATGCGTAGCAATTTCTGGCCCATCTGGTAAAACCAAATCTCTTTTGTCTTTGCACCAAACCTGAAAAACCTACTTGACAGGTAGAAATAATTAAATGTTCAAATTTTAATATTTCACTATAAAATATAAGCTTTTAGCAATTTATATTGGTGAGTAAAATTCTTAAAGAATCTTAGCAATGTTAAGTTCAATGACATTTAACATTAAATCTTTTACATTTTAAAAATTAAAATATTCTCTGTTAAATTTGTAATTTCCAAGTAACTGTTACTAATCTTAAAATTTTTGACAACTACTTAATTTGAAATCCTTTAGACTAGGTAATTGAATTATATATATTAAAAAAAAAATGAACTGTAATGAGAGCTCACTCTACTTTCAGTGTGATAGAGAAAATAGTTTTGCTTAAGTTTATTGATGACTTTATAATTTTCCAAAAGAATTTAATTTTTTTGAACTGACATAGATTGACAGTAACTAATAGGAGTCATTCGAATAAGAATGACTCCTATTAGTTACTGTCAATTAGTACTTTCAGTATACCAAAAAATAAGAAATAATTTTGATGGTGACAGACACCTCATAGAGTCATATGAAGTTACTGAGATTTAAAAAATAAGAAAATGGTATTTTTTTTTTCATAAATTGGTAGATATAAAAATATATTACAGTGGAACCTTGCTTAATGAGCATAATTCGTTCCAGAATCTTACTCATAATGCGAAACACTCGTTAAGCGAAACAATTTTTCCCATATAAATTAATGTAATATATGATAATGCATTCCATGCCAAAAAAATACTCAAATATTTATATAATGTTTATTCAAAGAAAATTATACAATATACATTGTTAAGGAGCGTGAATCATCATCATTATCATTTCTTCTAGCATGGAATGAACCAACCTGGAATGCAAATCTGATTTGCAGAAAACAAAAAAAAATCACAGATAATATGTCTGATAAACACGCTAGTCTTGGGCTATGTAAAGGCTATAGTTAAATATTAGAAATTAATTAATTTGACTAGAGATAGGCAGTTATGCTTCCATCTCTAGTCAAATTAATTAATTTCTAACATTTAACTATAGCCTTTACATAGTCCAAGAATTTGGCATATTGTTTGGCATGTTTATTATATCAATATAATGGACTATGGTTGTTGATGTTTATATGTAATATGTCTGAACACGAGCGACACTAAGATGCTAGTGGAACGAGTGCTAAACACAGACTGATGGAGCATGCGCACAATCTGGGATTTTCCCTCTATCCATCCCTCGTTAAGCGAGTCAGTTTTTTACAATTTGTTTTGCTCTTTATGAGAGGTTCCACTGTAATTTATTTACTTCAAAGTTTGTAAATCAGGTTTCAATGATTTACAAACATCTATATAAAAATATTTTTGCTAGTTTTTAATTTTTCAGAAAGTATCAAATTAAAGAAATACTGAAGAATTTTTCTTTCCTAATTAATTATTCCATTGCACTTTTTTTGGTAAAAAGTAATCTCCTCATAGAAATATATTTTTAGCCCAATGTCGTACGGCAGTTGTTGTAGCTTTATTATTATATTTTTACTTTATTTACAAATTAATTGTGTTTAATTATTTTAGATAGAAAATTAAATGATTAGAGTATAAATGATCTGATCCCATGTATATTATCATAATTTTTGTAAATATTCTTGAATTTTGAACACTTTTAAAATATGTTCAAAATTCAAAGAATTTAGATAACAAATAATTTTTCATGTTTAAAGTTTTCAGTCTAATTTATAGACCATTATTAGGATTCTTTCTCTTTTAATGAACTGATTATTTTTAAATTCTAATTTAAAAATTTTCTATTCAAAATTAAGACAATCCACAAAAATGTTGAAAAAGCATGAACATACCAAAAATATTTATGGTATTGGCCTTAAACTGGCTGAATAGTCTAAAAAATTTTTTGTTTAGTGTTTGATAAATTCTGTAAACTACAAAAGGATTCTTCTTTATTTATCATATTTTTTGCATCAGTGTTTTTCAATCACCAGTCTACAGAAAAATATAACACTAGGGCAGTTGATTCTAGATTACTATTTAAAAGTCATCTGTAGTTACTGTACATACTTTGTTATGTGCAGGAATTCTAAATAAGTTAATAAATATGCATAATTTATAGTTGCATATAATTACTAGTCTGCAATGAGAAAAAGTTGTGAAACCTTGCTTTACACAACTGAAACATTTGATAAATTCAAGCATTGAATTTCTTCTGTAGGCATAAAAAAAATTTAAGATTTGCATAGTTTAAGTTGACAACAGATTGTTTTACAGAATATAAAATTCTTTGTGTACTATATTATATATATGTAATGATTTATTACAATAATAATTTTCCTAAAAAGTAACATATTTCAATTTTAAGTAATTAAGAAAATAGATTGTATTATCACTGATAAAATTATATTATTGTAAAATGAATTTCTGTGCATGGTGTTAAAAAACATCATTGAATATATATATATGATAAATAGTACACACATTACTAAGTAAAAATCCTTAGTAGATATAAGTTTTGACCTCATCTACTTAGTCACAATGTGCATGGAAATGGAAGTGGTATGGAACATCTATAAATATTAAAGTAAAGATTTAGCAAGATTATATTCTTTTTACATTGTATGCAATGTGAAAGGGGAGGGTCTTGCCAAATCTGTAACTTTCTAACACTGTTTTATTTATTAAAATGATGTACATGATTTCCAAAATTAATCAAATTTAGAATCAAATAATAATACACTTTTGAAAAAATAAGATATATATATATATACACACACACACATGGGACTTATACTGTAAGTTGGCTGAGTGCTAAATCATTCCTAATTGGCACTGTGAATGATCAGCATGGTTATATATAAATTTATGGTAAACTACAAATACTGGTAAATTAATTTATCATTTATGATCATCATCAAAATTGTGTTTACTAAGGATTTTTACCCAGTATGTACTGTACTATCTGCCATATAAATGGCTGAATTGATTTTGTAATATAGGATGTTAAAAGAAAGCATATTTTTATTCATTTTCTTTAAATTACACATAACAATAAACTTTTTCCGTAACTAAATACAAAGTATATACCTTTTTCCTTTCTTGAAAAGGTTTTTTTAATAAATTTATAGAAACAAACTGATAAGGTGATTTTAAAAAGTATATCTAACAAATTTTCAATGTTACAGACACAAATCAATTTTAAATAGGCAACAGAATAAATAATTTTAAGTTAAGTGTTGTCATCTACCAAATACAAAAATTTTTAAATATTATATCATTAGCCTTCTACACTGGGGATCCAGGTTCTTATATCTCAGACCTTTGTAATTTATCTTGAGTAATATTGTTAGAGTTATGATTCCTTATGCAGGTCAGTCCCAGCCGTAATGTGCAGAATTGTGGCTGGCCGCATAGTTTAATGTATTTATGTTCATCTTAACCAATTAATCAATCAAAAAATATTTCATATCACAGGATACAAATAAAATTATTAACAGTGACCGTAGCAAAGTTTAAGTTACAAGTTGACAGATATAAGTTTTATTAGATATTTTTAACATTTGATTACTAAATCCATGTAATTATTGAAATGATATATTTGCATGTATAATTTTAATATTTAAAAATATTATGCTTGAATATGGCTGAGTGCTAAATCATTCCTAATTGGCACTGTGAATGATCAGCATGGTTATATATAAATTTATGGTAAACTACAAATACTGGTAAATTAATTTATCATTTATGATCATCATCAAAATTGTGTTTACTAAGGATTTTTACAATTATTGTATTAAAAGCAAGCATTTAATACAATAATCTGTATTAAATGCTTGCTTTCAGGTAGATAACTGTTTAAAATTTTTCACAAAGAAATGATTATTGATAAGAGTATATCAATAATCATTTCATTTATTCTTATTTCTCTAGGAGTCGAAATTAGATACGATTTATATAATCCAACGATACGGAAGATCGAAGTGTTAAAATTGGAAAAGCGATTAGATTTTCATCTAGTATATTTGAGAGATGCAGCACCCGAATACAGTACATTTCCATTTGATATGGAAGCCGAAACACGCACCGAAGGAGCACCCGTTCCAATTAATCCAATGAAAGTAAGTGTCAATGGTTTTCATATAAAAATGTGAGCAATTATTTTGCGTTCAGTATTAAAATTATGAGAACTTATATTTTATGAACGATGCCCAATTCTGTTTTTTACACAGTAGATAGTTTTTTCAGGAACACATGTTAATTAAGATCTGGAACAAATCTTCCTTTACAATCTTAACAAACCAGCAAAAATAATACAATAATCTGTATTAAATGCTTGCTTTCAGGTAGATAACTGTTTAAAATTTTTCACAAAGAAATGTTTCTATCCTGTTTTAGGACAGCTTCAGCTTTTTAACAAACATAAGTAACTATTTCAACAGTTCCAACAGTGACTTATGTTTATTCATAAGTTGTCCTAAAACAGGACAGAAATGTTTGTTTGTGGAAAAATATAAACAGTTGGCTACCTGGAGGTAATATTTGATACTAATATAAAAGGATGTTTGCTTCAATTTTACATAATATATCAGAAGGACAATAACATTGTAACTGACTAAAATTTGTGCAAATAATAATTGAAAAAGTCTAATAGAAATTTATTTTTTATGATTTCTGTATTGAAAGAACAGGTCATTAAATTTTTGCTTACTGTTTCATTCAGAGGATAAAATTAGAATAAAATACTGATTGGGCAAGCTAGGTGCAAGACACATCTAAGTGTGTGGTGAAAAACAGTCAAATATGTAGAATTTGCCTTTAAGGTTGCTATACATGCTCAAATAAATTTTAAGAATTTTTTAAAGCAATTTTCTAGAAAAGGAAGTAAATAATTTTATTGAAATTTGTTTTTTTACTTCTTCAAAAATGTGTTAGATCAAAATATGGACCAGAAAAAATTTACGATAGCAATATACATCTGAATTTCAATAGAATCATTATTCCCAAAAGACAAATGTAGTAGTAGTAAACAAAATATTTTCGAATTGAAAACAATTTTTTAATCAACACTATTTATATATTGCATTTTATAAGATTATGATGATAATACAGTAGAACCCCAATTAACTGAGGCAAATCTGTAAGTTAATATACCACTTTTCTTATATTCTTATAGTTTATACAAGATTTATTATGAGTGGCTGATGCTAAAGTGAATTTTTTTTTTAACTTGCTTTGTGCCCTGTGAATATTAAGAGGATCTTTTTTCCTCATTCACAATGAGGGCAGATGGGTGGTGAGGAACGGAGTCCAATATATCAAGGACATTGTGGAAAAGAAGGGAGGAATTGCTATAAAACGAAAATTATTTTAAACTTTCTTTAAAAAGTTAACACATATTACAAAATGATTGAAGGACTTTGTAATTACTTTTTACAAATATATATTTTTATTTTTATACATGAGCTTAAGTATATAGTAAAGGTAAACAAAGACTATACATCCGTGCCGTGACATGACATTTGATGATAGAGAAGCTGTGTTTCTGTAAGAAGCAGACTTTCAGGGACAATCAGTCAGTGATGGTCTAGGGTCCATTCATATTTGTTAATTAAAAATACATTTAGAGAAGTCTACAGTTTTTACTGGCTTATCAAACAAACAGATTATCTAACGCACTTAATTATATTGAATTTGCTTATTTATTACCTCTGTTATATTAGATTCAACAGATGCCATATGTCCTCTAAATGGCAATTCTTGCTTCGTTAACATCTACTAATTTAGATATATTATATCTATTAGCCATAACTTTGTTATAATTTTCAATATTTATTTTATATTGTTTACTAATGTCAAATTCTATTCTATTTTGATTTCCAAATTGTTTCAGTTTTACTAAGAAAATCATAAATCTCGCATCGATTCTGTTCTTTTGCCACCTTTACTCAAATTATTTAATCGTCAAAGCCATTTTATGTCTTCATAAACTTTATCATGAAAATGTCGAACAAATTTTTTTGTTGATATATTTATATTTAATTTAGGCATTGGCCTTTCTCTTTTAATAATGTTTACATGGTCTTGAGCCAAAACTTTTTAAAATAAATTTTCAATATCACAATTACATTCTAAAGGGCTAAAATTATAAAAACTTACTTGTTAAAATAAAATGTGTGATGGATATATATTTTTATGTACGTTTCATCACAAAACTAACATTTAATATTTAAAAAGTAAAGAATATTTTAAACAATCCACTTAGTTAAAATTGCTCCCTACCAGTGGCTCATGGATGGAATCAGAGACAATTTTGATAGGTGTGCAGTGCGTGCGTGCATGTCAAATCCTGAGGGTGCCGGTGCCGATATCAATTAATGTCAAATGCCTCTTTTGTCGCATCACTCAAAAGACATGACAGGATTGTTGTAATTTGTTAAACTTAATAGTCATTTGTTTTCTAACTAATTCGTTTTAGGACCGGGTGTCTACGAAAATTTCCAACTTTTCGGTCACTCTCATTGAACTGGAAAAATTTGTCTTTATTACATCTAATATTACAAAGAAATCAGTCCCCACTATGTTTGGTTAAGCTTTTGTTTAAGTGAAATTCTGGCTCTTTCATCAGGGTTTTATTTATGTCCCCATTCTCTAATTGCTTAAAAATTTGTTTTTCCACTTTTTTCCCGAGACTACAAATATTTAAGTACAAAGTAACCAGTTTCAACTTATTTCTATTTAAGAAGTAGTTAAATTCTAGAGTCCTCAATATCAGGTGAGGTAGCTGTTAAATACATAGTTTGAGTATATGTCTCTTTACTCCAAATCAATAAAACCCGGTAGACTTCCTCTCAGCTATAAGGTTAGTATCTAAGCCCCTCTTCAGTGAAAATGCTCAGAAGACAGAGCAACACTTTTCTTATTATACAGGTACATTTATATGACATTAACTCTGATCTTTTATATAAACCAAAAAACACAAGTGTGTATTGGATGACCCTAGTACAATAAAAACCAATCATTTTCATAACTCTCATAACTTTTAAAATGGTTAACAGAACTAATAATTTTGATCTATGGTGCTAAAACTCATTTTGCTTCAACCAATAATCACTTTTATAAAATTCCTCCCTTTTGTGTCCATCGGCAGTCCAGAACAAATTTATATGCGGAGATGCTATTCCAGTTTGCATATTGTTACGGGGCCGTCGTCTCCACATATAAATTTGTTCTGGACTGCCGACGGACACAAAAGACAGAAGGAAAGCAAAGAAGTTCACAAAATTTTTTGTATTTTAAAAATTAAACACCAATAAACTATAAAGTTTATTGATATCCTTTTGAAGTGTTTGAAGGAAAAGGACGTGAGGTGGAGAAGTTGGTAGTGTCCTGCCATATATCATTAGGCTATAATTTGGCAATAGTAATTATAAATTATATAGCATAATATATGGCAGTTGAAGGAGAGTTACATTCAAACCTTGGACTGTAAAATGTCGTTATAGATCATTTCCTGCATTCCAACCTAGGAGCTGTTTCGATTTTTCTGATGAACATTGAGAAAGCGTTCAATGGAAAAGCAGTATAGCAGATTATTGCTGGACTCTACAGCAAGACAGGAAGAAAACATGCCATTAAATGCTTGTTTTGTTCTGCATTAATTTATTTGTTTTTAAATGTATAGAATTACGAAAAAAGCGTAATTAACATATATATACAGACAAAATTTGGTTTGTTTTGTGCTGCATTATATATACCTCAAATTAACACATTTTTACTCTTCTGATGATTTATCCCAGTATTGGAAAGTTATTGATTTTTTTTTTTTACCCCTTTTGGACTACAGTATGGCAGCTTCGTTCTAAATACAGACAGACTATAGAATGCATCACATTCTTTTCCTTCAAATTAGGTCTTCAAAAGTTGTCTTACTTGGGGACCAACAAAAATTCCCTCATTTACTTTTTCGAGGATTTTAGTATTCTCCACCGGAACAGGAAAAGCAATATTATTCTGACCTTGTATGTTTGCTGCACTATCCAGTTACTTTTTTACCATGTGATGACTGGTTCTAGCTCGACTGCTCCATTCACATGAGGATTAACTAAATTCTACTGTATTTATGTTACCACTTTTTTGCTCAAACAACAGTATCTTTTAACAAAATCTGTGGATAATAGAATATTGACTTCAGTATGCTAAAAATACATGTGAACAAAATTTAAGTATCAGTAACAAGTACTAATGACACTTCCAGATGTCTAAAGTTTTTGGCATCATAAAACATTTTCTATGCTCAAAAATTGCTTCTTATTTTGAATGACCAGTTAGATTCCTTTTGTAACATTATATTATACATACAAAACATCAATTCTGACACAATACTACAATAGGTTGTGATGACTTATTCAGAGAGAAGTATATTCATCTAGAATGACAGAAAATTATTGATTATCATTCTTTAATCGCCAGTGAATGAGTATTGATCATTAGGAGACAAATGTTCATAAATCTTATTTTGAGTAGATGTATAAAAATGGTGAAATCAGAACTTATTTTGCTTGATGTGTGAGAAAAGTTTCATAAAATAAAATTGAGCATCACACAAGTTTTAGAAGAATGAAAAAGCCTCTTGACTATGGTCCACATTTTAAGACCAGTTGAAACAGAATGAACTTTGTGCAGGTTGGTATATTAGCTCATCAACACAAAAAAACCTTTTTTAATATCCCAGTATGAACAAATTTAAACAAAACGAACGTTTTCGACCATAAACTTGGTCTTCGTCAGGCTAATGGCCAGTATAAATTCGAACACAGTGTTTATAAATTATTTTTAAATTCCAAAATATTTAAATGTTGGAAAACGATTTTTACCGTACACGTTAGTAAAGTGATAAAAATATCTTTACATCCACACACATGGGCCTGCTTTGTATATAAGATATTTTTATCACTTTACTAACATGTACGGTAAAAATTGTTTTCCAAGATTTAAATAATTTGGAATTTAAAAATAATTTATAAACACTGTGTTCGAATTTATACTGGCCATTAGCCCGATGAAGACCAAGTTTATGGTCGAAAACGTTCGTTTTGTTTAAATTTGTTCATACTGGGAAATTAAAAAAGGTTTTTTTTGGTGTTGGTTTATCTTCCCGGAAGTTGTGCGAGAGGTTGTTTTAGTATGAATCAAGAAGAGCTCAAAATACTGTTGTCCTTTGTGATATCGCCACAATTCCAAAGCTAAAAATTAAGAAATTTGAATCTGGAGAATCTGGTGATTTCTACAGATTCCTTTAAAGAAACATGCTCCTTCCATATGTACACGGCTGTTTTGTGAACACAACAGTGAATCTCTACACATTACTTACATACATTGGTATGAGAGTAATGTAAATGAAGATGATGACAAAGGGGAAGATTCCAGAAAATGCCTCCATCACAAGATTGAATGTTTTTGATTCCAATTTATCCGACTACTTATCTAAGTTTTCTGTTTTTAGACCAAAAAGTGAATTTGCAATGAATGAAGCACAAAAAAAGAGAAGAAAAAAATCCCACCAATCAAGTGGATGACTGATAGGTTATTGAGTTAGATACCAGCAAAAGTATGTTTCCCTAACATTAAAAATAAAAGTTTACTTTTCACATATTGATTTATTTTTCCAAAGTCTGCAACTATAAAATTTTTTGTTCTTTGCAAATTTTTACTCAGATGTGGTAACAGTGCTTGGCGTAAATAATTTATTAGTCTTTAAAATGATACTACCTATATTTTATGAGTTTTTACATGGGTCATTCAACGTCCTTGTTGTAAAAAATTATATATATAATTATTTTTTAGAACAAGGACATTGTACTATATATATAGATCATTGATTATCCAAATCAATTGGGGACTGGGGTTGTTCAGAAAATCGATTTTTCAGACAACCAATTATGTACGAAAAAATATATTAACCTATCCCGTGTTGAAATTTGTTCAAATCCTCTCATGGTCGCACCAGTGCTGCCAGCTAAAACACGCACACCAACAAAAATAATTTTGGAGAGCCCATAGTCAAAGATTGCAGTGCCACAGCACTAGTGGAAATTTAAATTTGCCGACCGGAAAACTTTTGGTTAATTGACACTCTACTGTATATATATAATATATCATATAATTTCTACTTACTGTATTTGGTAGTCTGTGATCTTATATGAGTGTGACATCACTGAACTAAACAATACAAAAAAATTTAAAGTGTTCTTATAACATTAATTTATGAAATGCACATTTTATAAACAAGATACTTGCATAAATTATTTGTCTAAGAAAAATATCAGTTAACTATAAGTAATTTATCAATTTTAATTAACTTTGTTTTCAAAGTTCATCGAAACAATCGCCTTTTATTTGTTTTCACATTCCAAAATACGTTCCTTGGCGATCGAGCGGCCCAAGTTTGAAAAAAATTCCTTTGAAATATCCAATTAAAAATTAAAACGTTAATTGGATAAGAAATGATAGTTGTTTTCTCGCTCAAATTTTTATCCGTCGAGAGATGCCGGTAATACGTAGATTTCGAGCAGTCCTCTGGCAGTGTCCTTGCAAAACATTTTTGATTAATAATTGATTAAAAGATGACCATTTCAATGGACTTTATATTAGTTAATTAAAATTGAAGACAAAAATTTACATCTGTCTAATTAAGAAAAATATGATTAGAATAAATTCTAAGTGAAAATATAATCTTGAATTAAAATAATGGAAAGACACTGATATTCTATAATCCTTTTCAGAGAGGTTTTGCAGTTTAAGATGTTTTTGTATTAAAATATAAAAACATCTTAAAGTGGACCGTAATCCTCTCTTCATCTACGGGTTGTCATCGCAACCGGTGTTCGACACAAGCGGTTTAGATGACCAAAAGAAAAATTATGAGTTTTTAGGTTAATTCAATTACCATTATAAGATTTTTTTTTAATGCTAAAGAAAATAACGCTATACAAATATTTATCGTCAATTTAGGTTAAATTAAAGCCCCCTCCCTGGTACGCTCATTGGGAACGTTTTGAACTGAAAGGAATAGAGTACGAACTTTCGGAACTAGATTACAGAAAAGCAAAACAACACGAAAAGCCCTGGGAGAAATTCGACTTGATGAAAGAATACAGAGAAAACGTTCCCGAAGAACACCAGAAAGAAATCTGGGAAGAAGTCCACCAACATCACATATCTCTAAGTCAGAAACAGAAAAAAGAAAGACGTAAAAAGCAACTGTTGAAAGCCAGAGATAATTAATTATGTATTAATGAAGATGTAGTTTATTAATAAAATTAAGCCATATATAAACTCCATAAATTGTTTTTCTTTTTGTAGTAACAATTCATTTACTTATGATTACCTTTGATTCATATTTAAAGTGTTCATAAAAATCTTTATGAACAATTTTAATTTAAAAAACCTCTTATGATGGAGATTCACAAATACGCAATGTAATCAATCTATTTAAAAGACTTAACTGCTAAGTGTAAGAACTCGTCGTCATTCACTTGTAATTGTTGCAGGCAAGGGCATCAGAGAATGGCCGACTCAATAAAGGCTAACAAAAATACAAATTTGAAACTGGATTGGATTAGTATCAATATGTTGGGCTTTGGAATGTCGGTTAGATACTGGAAAAATGTAATCTCTCAATTCTACAAATAAAACTCTTGCCATAATTAATCAGACTGCTATTATGGCATAACAACAACCTGATTAATTAGGGCAAGAGTTTGGATAAGTATCAATCCGTAACCAAGCTTTTGTCGGCATTACGGGATTTGTGCATATTAAGAATATCTCAAACTCATTGGGGCCGTGTATTTTAATGATTAAATATCCTAGTAGTTTTGCCCAAGACTGATTTATTCCGTTAAACTTTTTATCATCTTCCATTCTTTTATTCAAACAAACAGTAAAGAGGCATTTGTGAAATCATCTCTGGACCCTATATAGTAGATGCCTTTCAAGAGAATTAAGTGAAGCTGATATAATACAAACTGTCATTCCTATTAAATGTAGTGTGCAAGTCATACAATTTTTGCATGTTCGAATCCAGTTTTCTGAAAATTGGGAATAATTGAGACTCTTAATCAGTTTGGACTGAAACTTAAAAAGTGAAATTAGTAGTGTTTAGTGTGTTAAAAAAAATAATTAAGCATAATACATGAAATTAATGTAAAATAAATGCTTTTACAACAAAAAAAAATACATACACAGACTTTTTTCTGATAGACTCAACTTATTCAGTTTTCAACCCTGTAAAAAAGGTATGAAATGAATACCTCATGAAAGTCAAAAAATAAATGTATTTAATTAGTACATTAATGATTAATATTGATTGAAACAAACACATGAAATCTGGTTTTGTGATGCCAGTCAGTATACCAAGTGTTTCTGTTAAGTTTTTACCTTACTACCAAATTCTTCCAGAACTAAGTTCTAATTACTTACATAATTCTGTAAGTAGTAAGTACACCATAATTGCTAAATACAGCTTTATAATTTTCTTGATCTAGTGATACTCAAATGCCTCATTTTGCATCTAGTTCTGATGCGCAGTATCACGAGTGAGAATTTTTGTAAGATAAGGCACGGTTACCGGGCCACGAGAAATGGACATACGGTGATCAGAGCTCTGGTTATGCCACAAAATACTAATATTTTGTCTTAAAAATACTGGACAAAAATCTGCATACTTTGGTAGCTCTACTTTTGTCACAGTGTAAAATATAAAAACTTTTTTTTTTTTTTTGTATATGAGAACCGCCAGGGAGGTTGGGGTCAGTCGCACCTCCCTGTTCGGCAACAGGTCGTTAAACCTGCTCACTGTCAAGATGGCTATTACTGGTCCTTAGGGTTGGGACTCTCAAATGTCGGTCGAGTGGAGGGAGAGTATTTGGGGTCGACGATAAGGTGAAGGCCGTATACGAGTAAAGGAGTCTACCATTTTAACAAATAAAACAAAAATTTATTAAAATGAACAATTTTGACAAAACGACTACACTGATCTCGTTACTAAACTGCCTAAGAGCTCGAGAGAGAGTTTACACGCTTTTTCATACCTCTTTGTAGGTTTCCTTGATGATTTTAGTCCATGTAGGCACTTAAATGTCCAATAAAAGGTGTCTTTGATCAAAATGAGCACAAATATAAAAAGTTTGTGACTCTGGCGATGATCGGATATCGATGTTCGTAGATCGCAATTTCGGCGGGTTCGGGGATTCGACTCGATGTCGTTGGTCCGGCATTTTGTCAAGAGACTCCCCCAAGAGGGGGTAAGAAATGTCTTTTTATAGCTTTCTGCGGGAAAATTCCATCACATGATCACATGTTAACAAGCTAAAGGTTATAGGTGTTCCAGGGACCTAAAACAAGTGACGAAATTTGGATGCTAACTATAAACTTTTGTGCAAGTCGAGCTGCAAGTTATGTGAGAACAATAGAATGTTGATAGTTATGACAGGAAGGTTTACACATTCCCGGCTAAGATCGTTTTTTTCTTCCAATTCGTTACATAAACGAAAGTGAACTAATTAAAATTTTAGTTAATAAAATTCCGGATCTCACATGTAAATCAGATTTAAAATAAAATCTGTTTGATCCAATTGAGTATTTTGACTCTTTTTTGTGCTCTTTTCAACTATCACAATATTAATTATGTAGTAGGTGGTAAACAAAATAGAGGTTGCGTTTTTAAAACATATCAAAGGTAGCTCTACTTTTGGCCACTACTGTAAGTGTCCTCTTACCTCAGTTTCTTTGACCCAACTACCACTGACATTAATGGCAATGGATTGCTTTGTGTGATGGTGCTTGTCTCATTCCCGCATGGTCTCAGTGATATCATTAGTTATTTCTTTGGGATGACTATTCATATTTTAGAATTTTTCTATCTCCTGAGAAAACCACACTTGAACACATTCAATCACTTACTCATAATGCACTGTCAACTTAACATTGAATCATATTAATAAATTTAATTAAAATTAAAAGATAAATGTAACTACATATATTTACTAAACCGTCAGTAAAAAATTACGAGTATTTTGCAGTTGCGCTAAATTAACTTACTGCGGAACTGGTGAGTGGTTAGAAAATTTTACTACCAACAAAGATACAAAAGTGGGCAGTAGGTATAAAAAGATAGCCTATTCCTGATTTATACAATGAACTATTTCATCTAAATGTTTCTTAGCTCTTCCCAAGCAGTTTACTGTAGAGCTATGTTCTAATTGATCAAGCTTTGCAGAAGCTACTAGATATGCAGTACTGGCTGGTCATGTAGTTTGCATGTCCATTATAATAGTCATGTGATATAAACAAAACAAACTTGTTCTGCAAACTTCTCATCTGCTCTCAATGACAAAACTTAAAGAATTTACTACATGTTAGTTTATAATTATTATAAAATATAAATACCAAAGTAAAAATATTAACATTGACAATCTAAATAGTATTGGTCACAATTATTTAATAAGTGTGGTATGCCACACGACGAGTTTTATTTTAAAAACAATTAATATGGCTAAATAACTTCATTTTTATTATTTTGAAAACTTCACGGTCACCAGAACTCTTGGCCTGCCTGCCTACTTTGGACATTGATCCTACATTCAATCAAATAATTTATATATGGAGAGAAAGTCAGGAAAGCATGAGCTGCTTAAAACATTTGGGCAGCTTTATTGCCAGAGTCAGAATTAGTCAAAATGATGCTCAATCTGCTAATGATTATGAAGACTTTGCTTTAATTAGTTGGTCATTTCCAAAAGGAGGGGATTGTACCTGTGTCAATAAGCTATCATAAAAAAACCAAATGGAAATTTTTAAACTCATCTTGTTTGTTAAGTTGATGTATTTGGGATTTGGGCATAAACTGACTTCAAGTTACACTTATGCCTTTCCATTGCTGTTATAAAGTGAAAAACTTAATTACTGGAAAGATGTCGTATCTAATGACGAAATAATGTACATAAATAATCAGCTTTACAGATCTGAAACCCGTTTCTTATATGGATGAGGGTATTTTGGTGGATCTTGCCCTAACGGCCATTGTTCTCTAGTATAGCATATGTTTGAGTTTTCAAGAGATCAAAACTTTTCTTATGAGTTTCATAAAAATACATTATTTATTATTTTAAAAAAATTCTGTATAATTATTTTTTGGTAGACTGTAAACATAAGGACAAATTAACACCCAGATAAAATTAACATCTGCAAGACAGAGGGCAGATCTCAAAAGCCAGACATCAGGCCACCCTATTTATAATTCTGTAATGTCATATGATAGGGCAGAAATTACTGTCAAAGTAAAGCTTTGATTTCCTCTTATCTTTTTCAAAATAAGCATAATATTAAGTAAAATCTTCTTCTGTTTATTATTTCTTGAAGTTTTTAATTAATCTCATGTTAAAACTATTTTTTATTTCATTTTCAAACTTTCATGCTATTTACAAAATTTTTACAAGAATATACATTTAATAAGTAATTTTTAAACCTATGAAATTAACATGTGATGTAATAATAGTAAAATAAGCCATAGTAATTTGGAGTTATTTACTAACAATGCCAAAGGAACACTTAATTCCTTACTTGGGAGAGAAATCACACTTAACCAATGTAAAAAACTTGTATTTGTTAAAGACTGCGAGTACTTTCAAAGACATATAGCCTTCATCTTCAGGCAAAAACCAAACACAAATTTTAAACATAAAATACAGAACATAAACACATATCTTTTTTAAATTCAGTTAACGAATGAGATTGGAATATTAAATATTCAATAAAAATTAGAACAGTCTAATAAAAATGCAATGTATGTGAAATTATCAACAAAAATATAACTCCCAAGTGTAAAGATCTTTAGAACACCTACAAAGTGAATTAGTTAAATAATTCTATCCATAAATGCAGAATATCAATGGTAGGGGTATTACAGGGTGAAACTGACACAATGTAAAGATTTTCCCATAAGAATTATGTTCTTTTGTCATAGCACTATCTCAGTAATCTAATATTAGCCCAAAGAGGCATGTAGCTATGCTCTAATACAGGCAGTCCTCTACTTCGTACAATTTGCTATTTCATACTCATTTCATACTTTTGATTTTTATTGATATATATGGCAAAACGTGTACTTTCATGTAATGATTCTCCCCTTCTCATGAACTATTAGTCACTAGTCCCTCCCCACCTCTCAAACATCAATTGCATCCATTTTCAGCATCACAGGTTCAGTCTTGAACAGGGATGTCGAGTTAGCATTCATGTTTCATGCATTTTGACAAATTTTTGATCATCATGG